TTTTGCTTTTCAGTTTTTTCGGCGGTTTAATTTTTTGTTAAAAAGTTTTATAGTATACGTGAATGACCTTGCAAAAAATTGGTTGGTCACACTATTTGCGGATGATACACAAGTTGGTGTTAAAGATAAAAACGCATTTCAAGTAGCCAAGAATATAGATGAAATTGTAAATATACTTGGAAAATGGTTTGAAGCAAACGGAATTATTTTGAATGCAGGAAAAAGTACCATAATTAATTATGCAAGCCAAAAACAAATAAAATCACATTATGAGGGTGTACTCTCGATTCCACTTTAAGTTATGAAACCCATATAGATAATATTTGTAAAAAGTTAGCCAGTGCTTATTACGCTTATTTAAGCTTAAGTCCATTATTGACAGGAAAACTAATATCCGTCTATTTTGCATATTGTCACTCAATTATTAGCTACGTGATTGCGATATGGGGTAATGCTTCACAAATTGAAAGAGTACTGATTTGCCAAAAAAGGTCGATTAGAATTATACATGGATTGCAAAGATTGACATCAGCAAGACCCTATTTCCAAAAAGCGAAAATCATGACTGTCGTGTCGTTGTATATTTATAGTTCACTTCTGGAAGTGCACCAGCAAAAACGTGAACTACTAATGAAGATGCACGTAAAGGTTAGTTGTTCCAAGAACCAGATTAGTCAAAGCGTCCAAGCAAGGTTTCCATTAAAAATGAAAATGTACAATAAATTGCCTTTAGAAATAACAAGACTTCCATTAAACGCGTTTTGACAAGTGACAAAAGCATTCTTTTTGAATCACGCTTTCTATAATATAGAAGAATATATGAAATGTTAATTTTCTGACTTGCGTGACATGTAAAATAATGTAAATGTAAATGTAGATGTATAATCATTTGTAATTTTAATAATATAATGTAATCTTATATCATTTGAATTGTAATTTTGACGTACCAATGTTATGTAATGTAACGAAATGGTCAATAAATAAATAAATAAATAAATTTGCACCTCGAGATGTCGATGCGTCAAATCAGGCCCGGTAGTTCCTGCTTATGGCGTGAAGCAATTTTGCAGGAGCGACCAAACATGGCTGAGTTCTGCCTCCGATAGGTACAACAGATGGATGGATGAAATAAAAAGTTGAAGCACCACATTAGTGACAGAATCAGCAACAACATTCGGATCATCCAGCGTGAAGCAAACCCACCCCCAAGGGTAGGATGTAAAAAAGAACCGCATCCTGTCCCAATCGGCCGACTAATAGTGCCAAACATGGCGGAAACCTGCAGAACGCAACCGCGATGGGGGTGTGAGTGGCCCCACACTGCGGAGTAGACAATCGTCCGAGCAGCTAAGAGAGGCATCGACAGACAACTGATATCCATCCAGATAAGAGGTCAGCAGAAGTTCCAACATTGAAGGTGCATGATCATTCACATCTGGGATCCGCGGAGGCGGTGTAACCAGGTGTGTCAGACCACATGCCAAGGCAAAGTCATAAACAGATCCACCCCCATGATCAGTTAAACGGGAACAAAGCCATTCAGCGTGGTGGGCGTTAAAGTCACCGAGGAAAACGATCTCTGCGAATGGGACCTGTTGTAGCATGCAAGTCTGCAGTCATTTGGACGTGGTCGATGAGTCGGTCTGTGTTAGCATTACCGCTATGGGACTTATAAACGCGGGTCGTCCCTGTTTACGCGCAGCCATAGGATGAACAGGTCCGTCGAAACCGTCGAAAACAGATGTCCACTCTGACGTATGTATTGCTCCGTTTTTTCGAGCGGAAATTTGCTCCCCATGCCATAGAAACCGCGGGGCAACTTGAGTACCCACGCTCAGGAAGAGGAGGGTAGCTTGGGAATGGATGCTCAGCGAGGCATTCCCCGACATTAGGAATCCAGGTAAGAGGGGGGGGGGGCAGAATTGGGCCTCCGGCCACCTGCATTCACCAAGCAAAACGCATAAGTTATCATTCACGCTGGTATTCTGTGAGGTCTTGGTACTACCAACAGTTAACAGTGGTAGAGCCACGCGGCAGCTTTTGCTGTCGCACGGATGGGCCGGCTCGAACCGGGGTAGTACCACGCTCTCACACAATACCAGCGTAAAATTGCAGCTTGACACTGCTGTGTTTCGTATGGTGAGTGTAGAGAACCGGAGACCCATTTTACTGGAAATGAGGCATTCCATCTTAGTCCTCACGGGTGACAACGCATCTACATTTTGATTTGTAACAGAGGATAGATGTAGATGTCTATGGGCCGCAGCAACCACTTACCATCAGGTGGACTGTGTGTTCGTTTGTCACCCTTATCCTATAAAAAAAAAATACCCCGGTTCGAGCCGACCTATCCGTGCGACAGCAAAAGCTACCTAAAAAGGAAAAGCTAGTTTAAGTTTAGTGTTGTTTTGATGTTATAATATAATATAATAATATTATTTTGTATTCTTTATCATTGTTTTATTGAAGTTTTAGTGTGTACTATTTTTTTTTTTGAGTTTTTAAAATAGGATTATTTCCAGTTTATGGTACGATCTCCTAAAAAATAAAGTTGGCAACCCTGAGTAGTCGTACAACAAATTGTTGCTATATAACGAAGCGAAACAAAGTCGCAAACAACAACAATTACAATATCCACCGTAGAGGGAGTATGTACAAGTTTATTCTCTTTCTACGATATCCAGAGAGTTAGTACCATCTTGTACATACAACTTTATACTCACTACTACCACCAAAGAGAATATAATCACTACGTTTAAGAGGCGGGACTTCCATAGTAAAAATAATTGCATGAAATTACGCCAAGTTACTCTACCAACATCAAGATATGACATTTGAGAAACAGTGCTGAAAACATTGACGAATTACAATAGTGCTGTAAATGTCTATCCTCGAATAATTTTATCGATATAACCTTTATCGATATATTGTTTATCGATATTTTTACATAAGAAAAGTTAGATCTCTATACTGAATTATTTATGAGAAATAAATTTTTTAACGTGGATTGAGTAAAAATGCCGATGCGGATAAGAAATCAATGTATTTTACACACAGCAATTTGTATTTATATCTCTACAATTAGGTACAAAAGTTTGTATAATGAAAATATAAAATAAAAAAACGCACTTTTATACTAGTAATTAATTAAGTAAAAAATAAATGACGACTCCGTAGCGCAGTGGCTAAGCGTTTGGCTGCGGCATTGCAGGACCGAAGCTTCCTTCCCGCACTGAACAATTTTTGCTATGCTGTAAAATAAATAGTCTGCGTCTGGATGCTTGTTTTCAACGTTAGTTTTTTTTAAGGGTAAAAATATTGGGTTTTTAATACTGATTGGATTAAATTGCTTTTATGTGTAACCAATACTATGTACAAATCGCTAGGCTTCTTCACAGAGGCACCTATGTACATACTATTCGCAGAGATCGTTTACTAATTTTCGCTTTCATAATAAGTGCTCATTATAGCTAATGTTTATTGATGAATAAAATAATGATTTAGTTAAATAATCTAATTCTTGCCAAAATGTGACTTTAGAGAGATATTATCTTTTGCTACATGTAAATGAAACCTAATTAACATACACATAAATTGTGGAAGTTTAAAGTCCGCTAAAGAAATAACAGTTCGTTTTAGTTGGGTTCATATGCAATGTTTGTCACAAATACGTCTTAACATGTGAATCTTTTCAATTGGCGCATGTGCCAGCTATTTCACCCATTGCTTGCATCTGAAAAAATAATATAAATAAAATCACATTATTATTGAACAAATAGAATCTTAGCAGTCAGAATTGACTTGTAGTTTCTAAGTATAGTTCGTTTCGGATTGCCAAACCATCGAACTATCAGATTTAGGAAATAGTGTCTTTGTATTTGTGCACACAATCGTACACTATAAAAACATGTCCTACATAGATGGCTAGTCTGGGATAGTCCAAAAATATACTCGCGTTGAATATCATATTACTATTAAAGTTGAAATCACCATATACCTTTCATCATCTAAGGGAAATATTGTTACGAATAGCCTTTTCTTGTTATCATTTTTTCCGCTTCTTGCACCATTTAATTGGAAAGTTTTATAATGCATATTTAATTTCTTAACAATTCTGTAAATGAACAACGGCTCCTATAGCAAAATTAAAAGCAATCTTAATTAATAAAATATGTACAAATATAATTGTTTCATTTGACATTTGAACCTATTTCATTTGACAATGTCGTTAATAGACATATCACGAAAAGCATAAAGAAGAGTGACCGTCATTAAAATTTGACCCCTGTAGTACATATAATTTTTACTATGGAAGTTGCACCAGCCTGACTACCACTACAACTTTATATTTGCGGTTGGTACCTTGTTTTTTTAACTCGCTTTACGGCTCTGTGTTCTAGCCTTTCTAAGGATACTTTGTATAGTCCGAAAATCTGAGACTATCTTTGTATAAACCGAAAAGCCGAAAACAATATCTATGGTAGTTGTGGCTTATGGCGCACGAATTATAAAATTGTATTTATTAGGGATGGGAAAGGGAAAAAATATATCGAAGAGATATTTTTAGACAGTATCGATATATATCGCGTGATAAATATCGATATATCGTCATCATTTGCATGATGTAAAGAAAAGGTTAAAAATTTTATATTACTGCCGGTTGCACGATGAAAAAAAAACAACAACCAACCACACACGAATACTTTTGGTCCTTTTGTTGTTACATGTTTTGTTATTTATACAACATTTTAAAATATATCGAAATTGATACGATTTCGATACTCTAAAATATATATCGATATATCGAAATATCGCGATTTTTAATATCGACGAGATATATTTCGATATTTTTGCCCAAGTCTAGTATTTACCAAGACTAGTATTTATGTTTATGGCGTCCGTGCCTCCGATAATTGATAAACTAAAATCAGTGATTTTTTTTCTGCTATCAGTAGTGTCGGGTAATTGTTGGCTGGTTTGATTTTCAAATAGCCATCAAAATGATGTTAACAATACATGGATTACCTCCAAATGTGTGTAAAATATATATAGATGTAATGTAGACCATTACAAGCTTTGTTGCTCTCGATAATTTAATTTTTTTTCTTTTTAGACTAAATTCCAGGATTTGAAAAATATAATTAAGCAGGAGTGTAAAATTACTGAATTCATCCTGAGTCCTTTGAATGTTGACCCAGATGGTACAAAAAGAGTAAGGATAGGTCTTGCCGATGACAATGAAGGCAACCTCTTGATGAACTATTTGAATCAATACAGATTATCTGGACATGTTCTCAGAGTAGTTCCTGTTGGAAAACAAACAGTAAGTTTCAGTTTATCCGTGATTTAAAGGTACTTTTTTGTCATGCGAGGATTTGTGGTTTATCAAATCTTCCTGGAGCAAGGTCCTTTATATTAACGGTTATTAAAAACTCATTTCACGCAGGTGCTAAGGAAGAGCACAATAGTAACCCAATATATTATTGATTTTGAATTAATTTTGATTTAAATATTATATATTAATACACTACGCTTATCACATTTCCAAAGTATTCCTATTACAAAAAATGCACGTAGCAGCATTAGCGTGCAGTATAATAATGCATTTTGCAATCTTATGAAACTGCCTAAATACTGCAGTGCGTCGAGCATGTTTGACAACGCCGGGGTTCCCAATTACTTCGCTGTTATTAGATCTCGGGTTGCAGCTTTTTGGTCCTGCATCCGTTATTCCAAGAATGAGATACTCAGGGTGTGCTATGAATGCCCAGAGAATCCCATACTACAATATTGGCGTGCCGTGCATTGCGACAATAACTGTAAATAGATAGAGCAAACTCCCTTTTGGGGGCAATTTTAGTATTTTTAGTATTAACCTATGATTACAGTTGAATTGTCTTTTATTTATCTTATTTATTGTATTATATTTTCATTTTGTTTTTAACATTTAACATTTATTGATATTTGGAATTATTATAATATAATTATACATTTATTGAAATTGGTGTAAAAAAGCCTGAAATAAATGACTATTATTATTATTATTATCATCTATTACCTTTATGTCAAATTTAAATATTATTATATTAAATCATACTTTAAGCTGCTTGAATGTTAGTGCTATAATAAAATTCACATTAACATATGAAATAAATGTATTAAAGCATTTACCTACTAACAATATTAATTATCATAACATTCTTGCTACTTATAGTTGTTTCGGATCTGTTATTTATTATGTTACAGTTTTTAAATGAATCAAGTTTTTATCACTTTTGGTACCTATTATATATGAATACCTATAGAAATGAATATTTACAAAATCATTTTTAAATTATTGATGGTGGTACAGATATTTGTCTAAAAGTATCAACAATGGGGGCTAATAATTTTCTGCTCACCAGATGTCGCTGGTTGACACTGAGGTAAAGTTTTAAGGTTTTTTGCCACAGCATCATTTCAGTTATGTACATATTGTATATTTATTTAAGTAGGTATAATTTATTTCATTATTTAAATTAATATAAATTTCAAAGTAGGTAATGAGGCCATCCACGATGTGTAAGATAAAATAAATGTTATGACTATGTACATGTCTTTTTTTTATACTGTAGGGTGACAAACGAGCACACAGTCCACCTGATGGTAAGTGGTTGCTGTGGCCCATAGACATCTACATCCATCCTCGCTTACGAATCAAAATGCAGATGTGTTGTCACTCGTGAGGACTAAGATGGAATGCCTCCTTTCCAGTAAAAAGGGTATCCGGTTCTCTACACTCACCATACGAAACAGCAGTGTTAAGCTGCTATTTTACACTGGTATTCTGTCAGAGCGTGGTCCTTCCCCAGTCGAGCCGACCCATTTGTGCTACAACTATACTACTAATATAGCTGCAGCATGGTTCTACCACTTAAATGGAAATTCAAATTACTATATTGATGTTTAAAAAGTGATATTTGTAGTACTATAATTACCTACCTGGCTAGATGTGTGTGAACTAGCGTTGTATTCTATCGTTATTTTGTTCCAGACCTCATTTTTAATACATAGAGACGTGCCATTGGTCACCTTATTTTCCACCCTAGCACTATATTTTTTATAATTCCGAGAAAACTTTTTTTCTTAATTGGAGTAAATACATGCTTCTTACTTTCCATGTTTGTGTAAATTAAATTTCCCGCGAGGGCAAAGTTACATAATCAAGATGTTTTCCAGTGTCAAAAATGATACGTCAGTTGTATATTTTACACTGGCGCTGTTAGGTTATTAGTACATATTGAATTAAGTAGTAAACATAGTTCGTATTTCGAAATACATACATGATAGTTTTAACAATTTAAGGTTTTTGACAGTAGAAAACAAATTTATAATGTGATACAGCTCTATTTATTTAAGTTTTATCAAAATAAAAAATTCAATAAATATCACGATATAGCAAAACCCAAACGTGATAAATGATATTCTAAACTTCGGTCTATGTGACGTAATCATTCACGAGATCAAGCCCTCAAGTCACAGAACAGTATTCCTAAGTACAGCACCTTGAGATACTGTTTTTATGTGTTTATTAATTAGTAACAATCTTGAGATGCTGATATTGTAATGAGGGTGTATCAAATGATTACACATTTGAGTTCGTCGTTGAGTAACGTTTATTAATACGGACCCTAGAGTATTATATTAATACACAAAACAATGCTTCAGTGGTTTGCTCTTTAATTTGTTTGCACTATTTTAACTTTTTTTTTTTAATTTTTCTACTTTTATGAATATCTGTGGTTTGATTTATTTATTTTTATCTTATTAATATAAAATATAGGCAATAGTACAGAAAGAAACAATAACCTTTACATTTTACGAACATATTAACTACCCCTCTATGAAATCTGTCAAATATTATACCTCACTTTCTAGTGGCGCCGCCCTGGTGGCAGAAAATGTAGATACCCTCATTGTTTTATCATCCAAATTTACAACAACCCACTTTGTCTAGTATCGAGAAGCAGAACTAGGAGAGTCAAGATCCTTCTAGAAATATCGGGACCGATATGTATTCGAACATTCTAAATGTTTCTATAGTAGAATGTTCTGGAAACTACCTGAGGGCCTATATAAGGCCGGTATAGACCGAGACCGAGTCAGTATTGAATTGGCCATACAAGCGAATACTTCGAAGCGAAATAACTGCGAACTAAAGTGATCAGTAGTACAATTGTGTTTTATTATTAGTGTGGTTTTAAATTGTAATTAGTGTTCTGTAATTAAAGTGTCAATTTTGGTAATTCTATCGGCAGTATTTAATTGTCTCGAACCCCAAGCTTGTAAAAATATCAAAAAACTATTGAATGCTATGTATATTAACAGTAAGAATTGTTATGGAATTCTTTCCGACTGATAATAAGTCTAAGTCTGTTGGAACACCCACTCTGTTACACGCAATATATCCCGATCCTTCAATAGTAGTCCATAACGATAATATTTATTGAATTAACATTTTAACTATTATATTTCCAATGCATAATTCTTAAGGGCGCTAGTGGTAACTAGTGTTGCCATGTACAAGACATTAATAGTGGCGCGCAACACTGCCCCCTCCTAAGACATGCTCGTCCCGAGCGTTATTGGCCCCATAATAACGCGCCAGTTTCCCTGCTGCTGTTGGGCGGTGCTGTTAGCCCCACTACCCTCTCTAAATCGGTCACCTCCCCTTTCTACAGTTCGCTTAGGGCAGCTGGATCGAAGATGGCCCCTTTCTCCACAGCCGTAGCACCTAGGGGTGTATCCTTTATTGCGGTCGCGTACTGTAGCTGCTGCAACCTCCCTGAACGATGATCCTGCCGCAGGGCTTCTACTTCCAGTGCATGGGTCAACGCGTCCTTAAGCGTCTCGTGGTGCCCGAGCCTCACAGCATCTCTGACTTCAAGGTCGCTGATGCCGTCGAAGAATGCCTGCAACAGGTTCCCTACAATGAGCGCAGGTGCAGACTGGTATGCTTTCCGAACCAGCTTCAAGACATTAATAGTGACGCACAACAATATATTTATCCAAATTTAACTATATAATTGATGTGCTCGTGTTAACTGAATCTTGGACAAATAAATATTGTTACGAGCTTGGGGTTTGAGACAATTAATAACTGCTGATTGAATTACCAAAATTGACACTTTAATTACAGTACACGAATTACAACTTAAAACCACATTAATAATAAAACACAATTGTACTACTGATCACTTTAGTTCGCAGTTGTATCGCTTCGAAGTATTCGCTTATATCGCCAATTCAATACTGTCCCGGCCGCGGTCTATACCGGTCTTATATAGGGCCTCAGGTAGTTTCCAGAACCTTCTACTATAGAAACTTCTAGAATGTTCGAGTACATATCGGTCCCGATTGACTATGTGTCGATATTTCTAGAAAGTTCTTCCATGGAAATTTCTAGAATGGTCTTGACTCTCCTAGTTATGTTATTCGATACTAGAGGGCGCTATTGGTAACTAGTGTCGCCACTAGCGCCCTCTTACCATGTACCATGTATTAATCGTGGCCCGCATCAATATCATATACCACCTGACATTCACGACTACAAAATGTTTCAAACTCATATTAATCTTAATAAAAATGATGGCATGGTTTAATGTTCACACACAAACAGACAATGTTCGGAAAGAACTTGAGTAAACTGCCTATGATCCGTGTATTGACGATGGTAATTATACAATCGACTCGTGGTAATTCGACAAACGTTTTGTAAGGTGGTATCGGATTATCAAACTTGTCGGACTATAGAGTTATGCCACAGCCCCCTGGTATTCCGGAACTTTTTGAAAAAGAGTACCTTGTAATCCAACAAATTACATATCAAATATATTGTTGCGCGCCACAATTAATACCACTAGCGTCCTCTAGTATCGAGTAGGTGAACTAGGAGAGTCAAGAACCTTCTAGAAATTTCCATGGAAGAACTTTCTGGAACTATCGATACCTAGTCAATCGGAACCGATATGTACTCGAACTTTCTAGATGTTTCTACAGTAGAAGGTTCTGGAAACTATCTGTGCCCTATATAAGGCCGGTATAGACCGCAACCGAGTCGGTTTTTTTTTGACTTAAATAGTAAGCTTCAAGTCTGGATTAATAATAGTAACGTTAGGAACAATACTAAAGGCTATGACTTATTAGCTCTTAGTGATAGCCTGGAATTCCATATAATAGCTCCTCCGGAGGATACTAGATATTCAACAATTCAGACTCATCGTTCGACCAAAATCGACTTAGCACTATTCTGGAACGTAACCTTAACGTTACGCTCTATAGAAG